AGACGGACACCGTGCGGAAGCCACGGTCTCAGAATGAGAACAGGACCTTGAAATAATAGAGAGGCTACCTTGCCTGAGCCAACCTCCTTGAAAACCTCATGTTGGCTGTAATTACACTGAAATATACTGAAACACACAACTCACAAAAGATACAGGGGACACACAAACATATAATACACACAACCACCTGGTGTTTTTGCTTCCAGAAAAGAACAGAAAGCCTTCTGGAGACTGAGGTCTTCATCTTCGCGAGCAACTGGTTCTTTGCATTGGCTCAGATCTTGATCCTTAGCACTTCACTGCTGCGTGGGAAGAACTATGTGAGCTTGTTGCAAGACTTCAAGAAGACCTACACCTCTGGGATCTTCACAGAAGCCTACCTAGTGCCGTGACCGAGCTATGAGTGTGGCTTGTTGGACTTGTGCGCGCTGAGCTAGATATTTGCTCGCTCGGCGTTTCTCCTTACTTACGCCAGATATTTAGATCCCCAGACCATTGGAAGGAGTGGCTTTCTCTAACTCCAAAGCCTTCAAACTTCAAGTAAGCAAACCATTACTTGTGAGCATTGCTTCAAGGAGCTTCCCGCAACTCGTACCAGCACCAGAGTCTCCCATGTTCTTCTGAATAGCTGTAATATATATATATATACATAATATCAGGTCATCCGATGCTCAATTGGAAGCCTGTTCTGTCCAACGGCCATGCGTCTTAGTTCAACAAAACCCTCAATCAAAAGATGTGTGGAACAAAAGGGTTCTACTGTATATAATGGTTATGTTTGAGCCGACCATCGGACCCTCAACTCAATTCTTAGTAGTTTCTGGGCCATAAAAGATGGATTTCCATGCTGCATCACCTCTTTTTCTCCTCGTTTGCGTCTCTTGACTTCGTGCGCTGGTTCGACCCTGGGAGACTCTCAAGACCCCCGGAGACCCCGACCCAGCCGCTTCAGGATGAGATCATCTTGGAGAGAACGCGGCGAGCTCCACTGTCCCTCGTTCTACAGCTCTACGCCTCCTCCTTCGTCACCACAGACTTTCTGGTGGCCTCGATCTTCACGGTAAGCCTCTTAAGCCTCCCGGTGAGATGGATCGCACTGTAGGTCCTTAGGTCCTTCGGTGGGTTCATGCTGAAAGTCGACAAATTGACCAACAATGCTAGCATATTCCAGCAGTCTAGCAGCCACATGGGGTTGGTTTGAGGTGAAGCTGGGTATGGTTCTTTACGAGTGTTTGGATTTTTGTGCGTCCACACCCTTATGAAGTTTGATCATGGAAATGGACCCCGGGTTTGCAATTGTTTGCACATTGATCGACCTACATTCTAGACTCTAGA